CCCCCACACACACACACTGCTTCCCTCCCCCTCCCCTTCCACCACACCAGACTTACGAGCTGCATGCAGCTGTATCAGAAATTAGATTGGTATTGGTCATTTTTCCTCCTTAAATATTGGCTATCGGTATCAGCCCCCAAAATCTATTGGTGCACCCCTAGTGCTTTCCAGTCCACTGATGTTTCATTTGGCAGTTTTCCTTCTCCAGCTTCATTCTGTTTTGTCCAGATGGTGCTTTTACCACACCAGATGCTTGCCATCCTGGTTGCCCTTCCTGGATGGTGCCTTGTCTGTTCCCTTGGTATCTGTGAATGCTATCATGGTTTTCTTCATACTCCTTAGCTCTGTCCCATTGTTAAATATCAGTTTGCTTCTCTCCACTGGCAGTTATGTCCATTCCTTTCCTGGGTCCATGATTCTGGGAGTAGGGTTACCGTATGTCCTGTTTTCCCAGACATGTCCTCTTTTTGAGTCCTATCACCATCCAGGTGGTTTTTCCAAATCTGAGCAAATGTCCAGGTTTTTGCTTTGCTCCACTGGTGGGAGCAGGGGGAGGAGTGACTGTATGCAGGGAGCTTCAGGCAGGTGTGTCTGCACTCACCCCAGGAGCTGCAGGCAGGTAAGTCTGGGTTGGAGGGTGGGGCTGGGGCTGCAGAAGGGAAGTGGTGGCAGGAGAGTTGCCTGTCTTCTCCAGCAGGGGAAGGAGGCAGGGCTACTTTGGATGCCTGTGGCTGAGCTGCCAGCACAGGGGCTGGTGCCCATGCTTATAGGAGTGGAGTGGCCAGGAGATGTTGTGGGACGGGAGGGTGTGGGGTGGGCCATGACCAGGCCTCCTTGCTCAGGCTGGCGGGGGGGTGGGGGCACAAGCCTCCCCTCCTCTTCCCTCTAGCCCACACCAGGGCCAGACTCACTTTAAGCCACTGTGATCCAGCCTGGTTGGGACGGGGGCAGCTGGGGCCCCTCCAGCAGGGCTGGGGAGAGCAGGGTGCTGTGGGTTGGGAGTGAGGGTCACTGGCAGGGCTGGGGGGCAGCAGTGGTTTGCAAATCAGGAGTGAGGGGAACCAGCATGGCCCAGGAGGGCAGGGTACTCTGGTTTGGGAGGGAGGGGCACTGGTGGGGCTGGGGTCTGTGGGTCAGGACTGAGGGACAACATCAGAGCTTGGTGGGGGCTGTGGCTTGGGAGTGAGGGGCAACAGAATGGGCAGTCCCCTGCCATATCATTGCCCCCACCCCGGTCATATTCCACCCCTTCACCCCTGTTGAAAATATGGTAACCCCATAAGCAGTCTTCCCTCTATCTGGTTACTGACTTCCAAATGTCTCCCTTTTCCACTGCTGCTCAGCCTGTGCTTACTGTCCCATTGACATACTGCCTCTTTCAGCTACTCTTTGCTATGATTTTATACTGTAATTGCAATTTTGTTCCCTGGTTTGGTTTGCTCTAGGAGCTGCTAGTCCTTGCAATTTTAATTCTTATTTTTTTCTCCTCTTCTAAGTCTTATGCTAGAAAGAAAGTCACCAACTGGCTTTTTCTTTCATTCTCCCCTCCCAAGCATCAAAGTATATGAATGTCTCTACAACTTTATGGGGGTGCAGGTTGTAGCTGTGTTGGTCTAAGGACATAGGCAGACAAGGTTCTTTGGGTAAATGTGATATCTTTTATTAGACCAACTCAGATAGTTGGAATATTTTTTCTTAGCAAGCTTTTGGGTTTAAAAACCCTTCATTAAGCCGAAGAAGCATCACACATCAACTGCAGATGCTTCCTCAGCCAGGAGTTGAGACTTTCTGTGCTAACATGGTTTGTTTGAAGAGTAAGAGACAAGCTAACTCTGATTTGTTACCTATATTTTTTACCTAGTACACAGAACAATGCTACACTAATAATGTATATTTAAAAATAGGACTAGATTAAATACTACAATAGCTGAGGCTTTCATCAAGCATTTCAATCCCAAATATCTGTGCAAGCCTTTGGCTCTTTTCCAGTCAAAGGAAAACTTCCTTTAAAGGATCGGGGCTAAGAGTAGAAATTAATTGTATAAGGAATGTTCCAATTCATCACTGCAATGATCTATACAGGTGCTGTCCAAATTCTTTAGGGCATACTATTGAAAGGAAGTCTGCCTCTAATTGCACCTTAGTGCCCTAACTGAATTCAGTTTTCTAGGTTTTTTTGCTTCCTACTTTATTTTATTATTCCTTGATTAGCACACTCTTTAAAAAATACTTCAAGACTTTAGTTTTTTTTCTGTAAGTTTAGAGCCAAAATTAGTGGGTCGTCTTTATAACAGTGTGTTGTCAAATTTCACTCCGGTAGTCAAATGTTAAAGGTACAATAAATGGAGTAGAAACAATATTGTATTTTCTGTGAAAGCGTGATGACATTTGTGGGTTTGTATGCACAGAATGAATTAAATCAATTTACTGCCCCAGTATGAACTAGAAATATGCCAGTAAACTACACTTCACTTGTTGTGCTGTTGACTATCTGGTTCTTTTGTTGTTTTAAATTTTTGTATTGCAGTTGTTCCCAGAGGCCAGAATGAGGCTCTCATTATTCTAAGCATTGTACAGATACATACAGGGGCCAGTCCCTGCCCTCAGGAACTGATTCTACCAAGCTAATTCACTGAACTAATTATATCGGAGTGATTTCATCAGATTTGTACATAGAATGTAAACCTTGCCTGTCAAATTAGGGCATTGATTGTGTGTAGCCTGGTATTCTGTTTTCAGCCAGGACTTTTCAGGAAAGAAAAAAATGCCATAATGCATTTAATAAATTCTGTGGTGACCTTAGGTAAGGCAAAGAGAAAAGAGGCTTTATTTGTCTCTCCAAATTTTGAAGGACAAAATTTGTTTCGTCTTATAATAATGAGACAATATAATTGAACTACAGAGGATCGTGGTGTTATAACTGGACCTGAATCTTTTTCTCACCACTTTGCTTCCAAAGGGCCGTTCTTCTGATTTTTACTGGGGAGAGGAGAATCATAGTAGTTGTATTTAACTCTCAAGGTTTAGCAATACCAGTTGATACAAGTTTTGAAGTTTGAAAACGTTCTGTTCCCTCTTTTTATAGTTTTTATTTATATGTACTTAAGTGTTTCCTGGGTCTAATGGGGATGTTCTGGGAAAGAAGCAGAAATATCCAAATACAATGAGACTGATTTAACATTATTACCATTCCAAATGGGAGCAGAGAGCCAGCTGTAAGAGAACTTTTTTTGTAAGATTTCCAGATTGAGTTTTCAGACATGGGAGGTTCAGATAAACATCTGATCTTTGGGCATTTATCCAAACTGAATTTCTAGTCCTGTGGAGAACTCTGCCCACTTTAAAAACTAACCAGTTACAGACCTGAATAACAGCATGACTTGCTTTACTAGTGCAGTGGAGTCGGTGGTCTCAGTCAAGGGTAAAATTTTCACAAGTGCCTAAGTCCCAGTGACTTTTGATGGCTTGAAATACGTGTACATTTTGATAGATTAGGCATGTTTGCAGATTTCACACTTGGTTTCCCATGTATGTTTTGCTTCCATTGCCAAACCACAGTCTGGCATCACTCGGGACTTGAGACATGAAGAAGCTTTGTACTAGATGTGCATAGCAGTATGAGCATGAGATGAAGCCCTTGTCTACTTCAAAAATATGCCTCAATTCTTCCCACCTGAGTGGGGTTACAGGCCCCTTGGAGGACAGGTTTAGGATTAAAAATGACCTTGATAAATTGGAAAACTGGTCTGCAACATATGGGATGCAGTTCAGTAAGAATAAGTGTAGTAAGCAAAATATTATACTTGGGAAGGAACAATCTGATGCACAAATGCTAAATGAACAATGACTACAGTAAAAGCTGTGTTAACTGGCATTTTACTAACTGGAATACTCTTACTAACCAGAATTTCCAATATCCCCCAATACAAATCCTCATTTTAGCAACCAGAAACTTTGCCAAGTCTATCTGGCATTCACATCCAGTATTTCTGTTGTTTACATTAGTTAGTGATGCTGCCAATAGTCTGCGGGGGGAGGGGAAAGGGATCTGCGCAGGGCAGGGTGGACTGCCACTGCGGCCTGGGGATGGTATAACTCTCAGATAACCGGAATTTTTAGATAGCCAGCACCCCACTTATGCCAAAGATTTTACTGTGTATAGGCTGCTGTACTGCAGTAAAGGACCTGGGGTTTATAGTGCACTGCAAGCTGAATATAACTCAGCAATGTAATGTCGTTGTAAAAAATGTTAACAGCATACTGGTATGTATTAGCAGGAATGTTGGACGCGAGTCACAGAACTGTTTCCTCCATTCTGTTCTGCACTGCTGAGATCCCAACTGTGTCTAGTTTGGGCACCACAGTTTAAGAAGAATATGGACAACCTTGAAAGAGTCCAGAGGAGAACAACAGACGTGATCAGTGGCTTAGGAAACATAAGAAAAAGGCTGAAAGAATGTGGATTATTTTGCCTAGAAAAGAGAAAAGTGAATGGAGATGCAGTAAGTCTTCAGATGTGAAAAGGCTAGTCAACAAAGAAGGAGGCGATCAGTTGTTTTCTATGGCCCCTGAGAATGTCACAATTTAAGCCTACTTTTCTTGAGTAAAGTTAATATGAAGAACTTCTGATTGAGGGTGATTAAACACTGGAATCTAGAGGTGCTGTGGAATCTCCACCATTGGAAATGTTTGAATGCAAATTATACAAACATCTGTCTGGGATGGTTTAGATAGAAGATGATCCATTTTGAATACGGGGTTGGACGAGAGAACCTCTCAAGGTCCTTTCCATTCCTGTTTTTGTATGATTCTGTCATTGCTCATCATGCACAGATGTCTAGTGCAGACAAAGCAGGAAGGATGGAGGTGTTGGTGAAAAAAGTGGTACTTTACACAGACCCTGCCAACACCATGTGCCTGTTACCTGTTGTCCGTGTCCAGCATTTATAATTCTCTCCATAGCTTCCCTGTGCAGTGGGATTGCAGATAAGAACTACGATGGAAGTTTTAATTACATTTTACTGTAATGATTTGACACAGATATCTTGGAGTACTGGAACATTGTATTACATTTTCATTTTACTGATGTTAAATCCTCCCCTGATTTTACACAGTACTATCTTTCACAGTCTGATGTGATTACTAGTTCTCCTAGAAAGCCTAAAATCCCAAATCATTTTTATCTGAATGAATGTTTGTCCGTAAGACACTGCAGGCAAAATACCCGGGTGGCCTGCTATGAATTTTGATGATATATTTGCAAATTAAAGTGATGAATGAAATGGAATGATCCACTTAATCATTTTCTAACAGTGTTGAAAATAAAATGTCATTATTGTAATCATGTCAGATGCCTTCCACTGATGATGAATTAATGCTGGTTTGTTTGGTGTGTATATTTTTTCCCTCTCCCCATCCTCCCTGCCTTCTTTACAGACCAGAAGATGTTCTGCTTAGGCGCACCCATGATGAGATGGTCCTCTTGCACTGCTTCCTCTGGCCTTTGGTAACTTTCCTCGTAGGAGTCCTAATTGTGGTCCTGACCATCTGTGCAAAGAGCTTAGCCATTAAAGCAGAGGCAATAAAGAAGAGAAAATGCTTGTAAATGCCAAGGTTGTTCAAGGAAAAGAAAAAGCCATGGGAAAGTGCAAAACCTGACACACCTGTGCTTCTCTGGTGCGCTCTGACATGCCCATTTACAGTGTCTTATCAGCTATTGGAGTTGCTGGTACCTGAGGATTATTCTTGGGAGACTGCTCTGTGAAATGTCAACTAATTGCTGCTTCTGCTGTGACAATAAACAAGTATATTCTACCAAAAGATCCTAAACTGCACCAAATATGCTGTACTGTATTTGACTAAACTTGAACAATGGCTAATTTATCCAGGTCCTAGTTGTATAGAGACAACTTCAGAAAACCCAAAAAGTGGTTAATTTCATCTTTGCAAAATTATCTTTATTATTATTTAGTATTAAATATTTACTTTTTAATTTACTTTGTCATAGAATGTATTTCTGAAATATTAAAAAATGGTGATTTCATTTTTTACATTTGTGGTTTTTTTAATTTAAAGCACAAAAATAATATTTTGCCAGTTTAGTTTTCTTCACTGCCTAGATGCATTTTGTTTTGAAATTCAAATTTTAACTTGTGCCTTAAAACAATTCTTCATTCATAATCTGCTATTTATCTTAAAAATATTAAAATCTCTCAAGACCACTTCTCTTGCAATTGGTAAACAAAACTGGACTTCTACTTGGAAAGTAGTATAGTGCTGAATATGGTCTTATCGACACAATGGCATTCAGTCCCTGGCAATTTCATAGCACTCAAGTTGTTTTATTGACACATGCATTCTCAGCTTCAAGAAGAGGTGATATGAACTGAAGTGCTTTTACTGAAATATAATTTCATAATAGAGCGTCCATTAACGTGCCATCTGACACTTCTAGTTACTTGAGTAAATTAGAAATCCCGGTCATCCATAGAGTCACTCTACATCACTTTGTTCAAGTGATGGTTGAAAGAGTAAGATATCAGCTTTTTCAGACTCTTTGTGCAGATAACTAGACTACCATTATCACCACCACTTTATCACTGAGAACAACGCTAAAAATCTCTGAAAATGGTACTCTTCAAGATACAAAATAAGATGTATTGATTATTAAATAAGTCACTATCTACTTCCATAACCATAGTCTGCCTTTCCCAACTTCCATCATCCTAAATAAGGATTGTTTATCCTGGTTGGGTTACAGATTACATGTAGGAGGCTACCGTAGAGAGAAATACCTTTGTTCAAAGCAAAGGTTTCTTTACCATTGCCAAGTGTTTTATTGATAAGCTCCCACTTTTGTTCTGATGAATATCATATAATACATCTGTATTTAAATATCCAATAGCAATTTTGCAGTTTTTAGCCACCCTCTTTCATATTTTTACATCTCTGACATTCCCATTTTGCATCTCTGACTGATTGATAGGTAAGTATCTAATGTATTGCTTCCCAGCTCTTTTGACAAATAGCGAAAGTACTTCTACAATGTAAAAAAAGTCAAATTTGAGTTTAAATGCTAAGAAATATATCAGGGTAAAAGTTGCATACATTGTCTGCTATCCATTCTAGAAGGTATAGGTCCAATAGTTCCCAAATATTCAAATGCTTTCATAGTGTATTCTGTTTTGGAAGCTACCATGAAATAGTGAAAGTGTGCTCTAATGCAAAGGCATAAGGCTCATATTTTGGGGAATGGAGACTATTCCTATCCTTTCCACTGACCTACAGCATGACTTCTGGAAAGTCACTTAGACTCAGATCCCCTAAGGTATTTTGGCATCCATCATTTCAATGGACTTTAGAAACTCTTAAATACAACTGCCAATGTGGGTCTTAAATCTTTGTGCTTTACTTTTCCTGTCCATAAGACAGGGGTTCCTGATACATGTTAACTTAATGGTGCAATTGGATATGATCCAAGAGCCTAACAATCATGCCTCCTGCCATGTCACACGTGCATAGAGGAACATGCAGTTTTTGGATGGGGGATCAGATCCAAATCAAACTATTACTGCTTGACAGTGCAGGGGGATCCCAGCTGCACATATGGTTTTCTGACATCTCAGCACAGGGAGACCCTGGGATCAGGGAGCCTCTCCCTGAACCTTGGGCTCTGGTGCACTGGACCTTAAAAAGTATGGGTTACACACAAACTTTTCTGACACCCAGGTGCACAAGGCTCCAGACTGGCCTCGGTGTGATCCTAGGCTGAGACCTATAGTCAGCTGATTGTCAGGACTGCCCCAGTTCATGCTGGGATGTGGGCAACCAGCTTTCAACTTGCCAGTACAGGGAAAGCCTGAGGTTATGATTGTCGGTATCAGGCCTGGGATAGCACTGGAGACAGTTCAAGACAGGTGGAGTCCCAGAGCTGGAACTGACAATTAGCTGATTGAGACTCTGGTGCGGTACCAGGGCTAGGACTGGCAATCAGTAGATTGAGGGTCCCAGCTCTGGGACCACAGTGGGGCTGGTTCCAGCTGTGTACTGAGATTTCAGAAAACCTTGTATGCAGTCCATCTGCTGGTTTTTTAAGGTCCTGGCATGCTGGAGCCCTTGGCTTGGGGCAAGTTTCTGTGAGATGGTCCCTGGGCACCGTGGATGTCAGAAAACTGCTTGTGTGGTCAGACTGCATACGTTGGGGTGGGGGGTGGGTTTATTTTTTTTAAAGGTCCCAGTGTGCAGTGATCCAGGGATTAAGGGACTTCTCCCCAGTCCCAGGCTCCCCATGGCTGGGATGTGTTAAGTGTCTTGCTCTGCATCTCCCGGTGAGCTGAGGGGAAGGCAGTCAACTTTCCAGGTTGCAGGGAGACCAGGTTGTGGCTCCCTCAACCCAGCACTCTGACTCACTTGATGAGTTTCTATCAACTCGGCACCCTGAAAATAGGCTGCATGGCTGGGACCCTGCCACACATTCAACTTAAATTGTGATGGAAACCAGCCACAAAAATATACACATTTTATGTAATATGTTGTGGCTGGTTTCCCATTTTGTCATACCATTAATTCCCTGGGTTACTATTTAAAACCTGATTCAACAACTTAATCGTGACATAAGTGTCACATCTGCAAGGGGTCAGGGTGAATAGTATTTATGCATACTAATAAAGCACTTGAAAAACTATGTGAAAAGTGCTACATAAATGGCATAAAGATAATTTTCTCTTTAAAAGTGTGCCTTTTTTATGCTCTGTTAAGCAGAGTTTGGCTGAATCTGGGGAACACAATATCTGGGAAAATTTGCCATTGTGAATGACAGGAGTGATTTTTTTTTTTTTCTCTTTTTTCCCCCCTCAAGCTGCCTAAGTACATTTGGTGCCTTTGAAAAATAGTGTCCTGATGGTCAGCAAAGGATACGTGCCTTTATTTGGTTACAGCCTCTCCATCCCAAATCCTCTATTTCATGCACGGCAATTCTGTTACCTTAGCAACAAACTGAAACATTTCTTGTTGCCACCTTTGGGCAATTCTGCCTTCCCGGTGAAATACTGACAAGTTCGCCTCATCTATTTTTGCCATTGATAACTCCCTTCCAGAATTGGAATTAACCTTTAATCACAGTACAGAAAAATGTCTTTGTTTTTTCCCCAGAAAGGAATCAGAAAACCGTGATGACATAGATTCACCCAGAGTTTTTAGGCAGCAGTTTCATTCTCATAAATCCAGATTAACTAAATCCTCTCATCCTTGCTTTAAAACCTCTTGCATCTGAACTGTGCAGCTGATTCTTTGAGCAAAGGTAAGGAGTGAGTTGAGTTCATGGAGTCAAACTTAGGTTGATTAGTCATGATATCTTTAAATCTGCTACAGTTGTCATATGTGGAAGCCACTGTAAGTAAATCACTGCTCTTAAGGTGACATTAAATGATCTTTCTCCTTGCAGAGATCTTGTACATAAGTAAAAAATGAAAATGTAATCAGAATGCAAAGAAAGACGGTAGATATCACACTAACACTGTGTGTCAGGTGATACAGAGAAGGAAAAATACTAAAATTTGTTCTTCTATCATAGCTTGTTCTTTGGCAACTCAGAATTTTCTCTACATTTGATAACTGAACCTTTGGAAGTTCCTTCCATAAACTCATTTTATTGATTTTTTTTTCCCTTCATGAGTTTTGTATATTTCCCAGTTTTTGTTGTATATTCTCTAGAGAATATTTCTTAAAATAATCTCTTATTTCAGCAGAGCAATCTGCAGTTCTGATTTCAATTCAGTATTTATATTGCCATTACTTTGAAGGATTCTGCTTCATCATGCTGTCTGTTGCTCAGCCTTATTAAAAGATATGCATTCTCTTTCATGTGGGGCTATTCATTTTTTTTTGTTTATGTAATATCCAAAGCTCGTAGTTTAAGTTGACTATAAAGTGATTTAAGCAATGCATATTTCCAGAAATTCTGTTTTTCATATTTTTGCGTATGTACAAATACAGTTAGGAAAGGTTCAGAGAGAGAGATTGGAAAGCATAATTGCTATTTTAAGAAACAATTCAACTACACAAGCAGGCGCGACACTTCAGATTTTCTCTGGGTGGCGTTCAAAAGTAATCATCTCCAACTCTAGTGTAAATATAGCTTAATTGAGGGAGGAAATAAAATGTTTGTTTTATGCAGAACTGCTTGGAATCTGTTTCTACAGTCTGTTTCATTAAGCCTGGGACTGTGCTAAAAATTCACCAAGACCTGGTGCTAGGCAGCAGGAGTTTTAAGTATGTTCCTTAAAACATTTGGTGAGCTGCTTGGATTATTACATAGAACCCAACAACAAGTATAGGCAACACATTAGCTTGTAAGTGTGATATCTGGCTGGGGAGGGTTTGACCAAAGGTCTCCAGCAGCAGAGAGGGGGACACATCTCATTCTTAATCATTGCAGGATGCACAGCTAGTTCACCTTGCTGGACTCTGCATTGCATCCTGAACAGAACCAAGCCTAACAACAGTCATTTATATTCTGTTTGGTTTCTCTTC